TAAAAACAAATTATCTTCTTTGAAAAAGTTTAACTCCTTTTATGTTAAACTTTTCTTTATGAAAACGCATTTTTATTAAATAATTAGTCATAAAAAATATAAAATATTATTAATTGGAAAAATAATTTTATATATAAAATAAGTAATTAAAAAGTATTGGCTATTTTTAAATATTACTTAATGGATTAACCGTTATAATCTTTATTAATATTTCTCAGTATAAATTGAATTTAAATGAAAAAACTGTTATTTTTTTACCAGCGTTATAAAATATACAAAATAGATCGGATTTTTGCTCAAGTGTATATTWAACAGAAAAAAAAATGTGTAATAACTGTAAACCCGCAATTCTCAACCATAGCTTGAAAATAAAAAAAAACGAACTTATTAAAAAAATTGCTGTTTAAAAGAGAAATAAATTATCAAGTGCTATGTTTAAGAAAATGTGACCCTGCAATAGGCGATAAATATAAAAGATTTGTACGTATAGTGTGGATTGCGGAATGCGGATAATAGTGCATAAAATATTGATAGACCGTAATAAATGGTTAAAAGATAATTGTGACATATTTCGTTGATAGAAACAATTGAAAATTGAGAGAACCAATGTGCTTAACCGATTTGACTTACCATTTCTTTGTCACTAATTGTATCGACGTTTCGTAGCAGTATATCTATTTTAACAATAACCGGGCCATCTAGGAATTATTATTAAGAGTTCTGATTTTATACGTTTGTTACCAATATTATTATATGGATACAATWAAATAAACGAAATATTATTAGTATTGACATTTTCTGGTTGTAACAACTAGCTGAAGGTCCACACAGACAAAGCAAAAATGAGTGGCCACTTGAAAATTAAAAATTCAATTCTGCTCCTATATATWTTATATACAGGCATCATAATATAACACAAAGGAGGATTTGGCACTATGCACAAGTACTCATAGAATTTTTCAGTTTGGCGAAAAGCCTAAAGTACTTTGAGTATTTAAACAAAAAATAAAACTTTGAAGGGGAAATTTAAAAAAAAAAAAGTATTAAAAATAAGGTGTCGCTTTTATGAGGAACCCGCGAGATTAAATACATCCCTTACTCCCTTTAATGTTTTACAAATATTGTTGAGATCATGAGATTGTTTAATATAAAATCATTTCCACATAGTGTTAATAATGTTAATTTAATAAAATATACATRAAAAATKAATAAAAAATAAATGAACATAACGAATTGTTTTGGTCRTGAGCATGTAACAATTTTTCTTTTTTTACAAARACAACATAATTTTTAATCGAATTTTACCTGTGCCATTAACTCCTGATGGACGGATTCTAGCATCGTAGCTTCCTGGACCTAAAATTTGATCAAGAACCTCTTTTTCTTTGTGCCTATAGTTAACTTTTGGTACACATCTGTGTTGAGAATTTCCACTATAATTACACCCATCATCGTCAATTCGAGTGCTGTAATATACAACAATTTTATTTAATAATACATATTATACATTATTTCTGGATAAATTTAATCCAAGATTATTATCCAAGGTAATCATAATTTACAACACTAACGTTCGTTTTGCTTCATAATTATTTGAAATTAAGCCAATTAAGGTGTAGTTATCTTATTGATAAATAGATCTCTCAATATATTATAAAATAAAATTTTTTGTTTTTGTTTTTAATAATTTTTATGATAATAATTGATAGTATTCAATAAATATTAATCATRAAATAAATTTAAGACTCAATTGAAATAAAATTCATGAAATTATTGATTACTATTATGATTAAATTTGTTTATAGAAAAAAGTTTCTTACCAGCAATATTGAGCAAAGTGCGCAAACAAAAATACCATTAAKAATGAGGGCCACTCCTTGAAACTAGCCATTCTCTGCAGYAACCCTAAAAAAAAAATAAGCCTCAAAATTAGTTAAAATTGCTCAGTATATAAGTTTTGTAGACATATATGTATAAACACAGTTAATAATAGGTACTTTAATACTTTTCACATTTCTATCATGTGTATGAGAAAAATGTTGATTATCTGAACATAAGTTTTGATTAATCAGATCAACTATTGGCAGGTAAGTACTAACCCCCCCCCCCTAAATACAATAATACAACGGGATGGTGCCGCCCGTCCTATTCTAATGTATTATAATATATTTTTTATTGGTGACAACCTCCATGAAGCACTTGGTCCTGATCCAGCCAACACGGAAAATATTTAAAAATTATSAATTTCTATAATCTTATATGATATTGTGCAAACTTAAAAAACATGTAAACCCTTTGTTTTATCATAGCAAATAATTTATGTTGTTGTAGCTTATCTAAATAAAAAAAAAATTTGTATTCAAGTCGTTCGTAAATTACAGTGATTTACTGAAAACCGCGTACACAATTTCGGTATGGTAATATGCATATAGTATATACTATTATTATGTTTGAACGGCACAATATAGTAATTGTTGTACTGGTCAGTGGTCAGACAACTACATATTGTAATCTCGAAGGATTTGATATTAATGCGTACAATAGTACAATATAGAGGCACTGCGTTGTGTTCTCATACATAAGATTAATATTATGCTATAGTTTTGATTATATTATCAAAAGACATGTAACGATACTGAATACATTTATATTGTATCATTATCATTATTATTGTTATTGTGCCTAGTATAAACATTAAACACGTAGCGCAATATCACACATGTTTAGCGCCGTACACTGTCGCGTTATATATACATATTGTCTATATTTAACACCGATTACGTCTGTTTTTTACTATATATTATATTTTCAAAGMGGTAAATTAAATTAATTTCTATGTGTTTTAGAGTGAATGGCTATAACTAAAGAATTATGTGTATTTAACCCGACAATGTGCATAATATAAGACCACGCAATGTTTGGAAACATTACTATTATTTTATTTTTAACCATTATAATATCATTCGTGGMTCGAGAGAATATACCTGCTGTAAGTGTATAGCACAATACAATAACGATATATAACGTATTTGCGAATAAAGTTGTACATTAAATAGTSAAAAAAAATTGAACCCAAAATAAAAAGAAACTTGAATTACGRTCCGTGCGGCCGTGTGAAAAGGCGAACAACGACAACATTGTATACGAGTACGGACGCGTTGGCATTTCGCGGCAGAGTCGACCCCGCAGACGCGGATAGACCGAAACCTATAGTTGACCCAGTTCGGCGGGAACGTGTGCGCTCGTCCTACCACCGCAAGCGACTCGGAAGTTGATACGAAAAGAAAAATAAAGTAGTGATAAAAATATTCTTTACGATATAATAGGCATCAAAGCGGGTCGTGTCGCAAACTTTTTAGTAATAATAATTAATATTCGATTATGACGGTAAGGCATTTTTATGATAATTTTATATAATATATTTCCGTAGGTTATAGACTAACTGAATCAAGAACGATTAGTTTAAGTCGAAAAAATGAATTTACAAATGTTTCGTCTCCTATAAATATTTTAGATAGGATTAATTGGTCCCCTAGAGTTATTAGTCGTATAGATATATGACTTTGCCTACCACTTTTTTTTTTGAGTCTTTATTTACAAATAATTTTTTATAAAATGAAAAAAATCCAAACAGAAATAGATTGGTTATGAAAACCGTGTGCAATGGATCGTACTTATTACTTATTAGTGTAGGTACTTACTATTATGACATCTCAATGCAAAGCAACTATATTATAATGAAATGCAAAAATAATAATTATTATAACCTGTCACCTATAGTTTGATCAAGAAACATTCAACTAACATTGGAATTGATTTGTGTAATAATTTCAAATACCGGGTGACCAAATATCCTATTTTTCGTAAAATTAAACTTCCATTTACCTTTTATGCACGTGACACGTGTTATGACATGTGACGACGCTCGAATATGGTGCAATTTAAATAATGCGTGTTCGAAATTAGAGTGTTGGATTTCAACCTACTCGAAAATTGGACTGTGGGTGACTTATTAATATAACGTGTAATATTATTTGTATGTACCWATACAATTCTTGATGTCTTATACGAAATCGTAATGTCCATGTGTACGGGTAAATGGGTAATCGAATCTAATTTCAGACCTATTTGAATTAATGCACTCCATGTCACCGGGTCACCAGTTTCCGGAAAAGCGAGGACGACGCAAAGTCTCCTATTTTAGTAACCGCACAATAATCGATTTTATCGAGTGGGGTGGGGAGCTTTGTCTGCACGTCATGATATAATATTATACTACTATTATTAGATAATCGGATTTTAAGGGATGATTTTCTGGTGACTCGCCCACCTGTATATTCATATTCTAAATACTATGCAACGGTGATAATATTAATTAATAATACCGAATTTACGTATATATAATATTATACCATTATACGCGATAACCGCAATCYAAATATGTGTGTTATAAATTATAAATATAATATTATCTAGGTACTCGGTCGGAGGGTCCTAGAGTATAATTATTTTCATTCTCTCCGTCTCTTTAAAAACAGAAAAAAAACTACCCGTGT